ACGAACTGGCGTCTGCTGTCCGGTTTGATGAGTGTCCAGAGCGTCTCCAGTTTACTCCCGGGACAGGAGGCGTCTGCTGGCATCTTGATAGGCGATACCGAGACGCCGTCTCTGGTCGCCAGCGCCACACCGCCGTAACCCCTGCCGTCGGACCGGTCTGCGCGGAGAAGCTGGTATCCCGGCAGCACCACGAGTCGGTTCGGTTCGGCGTCGTCGGCCTCAGCCACGTCTCAGTGAGGCACATCAGGTCGTAGTTGTGTCCATGGAGCAGGGTGGAGAGCTCCAGAAGCTTGGGCTTGACGCTCTGTACGTTCAGCGTCCCGATGACCAGGGACACGCTGTCGGCAGGCCGCTGGTGTCGCTCCCGGTGCTTTGCGCCTTTGCTCCCCCGTTTCCTTGCGCTGGGCGCGCGCCTGCCGCGCCTCGTACGGCGCCGCGGCTGCGGGTCGCCGTCAGCTGTTGGTCCGGTGGGCGGCGGCGGCACCAGCCGACCGTGCTCGGGTCGGGTCAGCTGGCCGCGGGCCGGCTCAAGGTCACCAGGTGCGGTGACCACACGCCGGGAGGGCGGAGGGCGCTCGGCCGGTACAGCGGTCTGCACCAGGGATTGCACCACGGCAGGCAGCACGACAAGCCGCAGTAAGTCTCGATGTTTGGGTAATAGTCGCATCGTGTGACTCACACACTCAACACTCACACGGCACACACACGCGTGATCCCAACCCCACCAGGCACAGGGGCGGCGCGGAAGGACGGAGCACCGGCACCGCACCCGACCTCGAGTGCGGCGCACAGGCAACTGATCGTATCGTAAATTGCAAGAACGGGAGCAAACGGACGAGATCGTTGATCTAGAGACTTTTCTAAAAAAGTTGAACACTTCCCTAGATCTGGTATACGGGGCAAGATGGGGAAACATCGTGAGACATCGGCAAACGGCTTGGACAAAGCCAGTTGAGAGGAGCGATGATGAAGGAGGGATCGGCACAATAAGCTATTGTAAAAATAATGTTCAGAATATAGGTAGTTGATGTGGTAAAAGATCCCGTGCAACTGAATGAATGATAAAATTAGAAAACCTTTTAAATTTATTAGCGTGTTAAAAGTACGCGAGCATTAGAAAATATATCAACAAAGCCAGCGAAAAGCATTCACAGCTGTGATAACGACAATCTATTGACTTTTGAAGCGAAAATGTGTGCAGTTGATATAACTCATAGTGGTTTTGCTGTGAATACCTTCGGGAAGCGGTAACCGATAAATTGCAAGTTCCGATGATTTCCTATCATTTTTTTTTATGGCAATCCTGGATAAAACATTTAACAAGTTGAGGCAGGCTGCAATACGACTGAATTTGTCGACACAGGTTCAGCGATTTAGGTATACGAGTACCTACAAGTACCTATACGGAGGAGGCATTCAGCTTACAGCAGTGCCACAGCTCATGTCACCATCGTCATGTGACTACGCCATCTCGTCAGGCGATGCTAGAACTGTATAAAGGCAATTATAATATCAACTGAACAGACCAAGAGCACTTATGAGTTTAGCAAGGAAACTGACGCCGTATGCTCAATGAAGACAAGCAAGTGTATTCGAGCACAGTTCACAGCAGATGGTGGCAACTGTCGACGTTTGTCTGACAGCTCTGCAATGTGGCGTGGCATCACAGTGCAGCGGTCTTCCAGAGGAGAGCTTGGCCTAAGGGTTTGAGATCCCAGGCCTATCTACCTGAATCTACGATGCAACTCTTGGTAGCTGGCGCGCAACCGGATGGCTTCTTTATCTGTCCCCGAGATTCTGAGTTGCGGAGCGGTGCTACGAAAAGAGGGAGATCAGAAGTGCAGGTCGCACCTGTTCTGACTTAGCGAGGATCATTCGCTCAAGAGTCGCATGCGATGTGCATAACAAGGCCAGACAGCCCAATGACAATCACATGCTTCGCATGTGGTAGTCCCAATCACATGGCGCGATCCAGATGGCCTTGATCCAGAAGACACTGTGATTTGTTTGAGCCTCGAATGAGGCCCTCAGTGACGATCCGACGGCGGAAGCTGCGTGTCTTGAACGAGGAGTAGTCGGCCGCTTGAGGTCATAAGTGAGCGACGACGCCGGTGGCCACGATGGTCGGAAACTCTGCCTTTAGTTTCACAAGAGCAAGTGCTGCTACGGCATGTATCGGTCGCTGTCAGATGATGTAAATAAACGTTTGTTATTTGCGCCGCATTTGCGGTGGCATGAAATTATTTGTAGGATACTTATTTCCAGGCGCTGATGGTAGGTAAAAAAATAAATTGCACTAGACCTACGGTAAATCTGCCGAAAAGTTAAGTTATTCATCGCCACTTAGCGCTCGCCTTATACATCTAGGTATGCATATAATTATAGCTATGTAGCTTTTATCCGCAAAAATGCACCACCTTTCGTGCCTTGCTGCTTGTCTTCTCACTTTGAATATCAAGAAACTTCCCAAAAATGGCTTCCTGCTCTATGCACTGCCTAAAAATGCTTATTAGTGTCATTTAACATCTGCACAAACCTTCAAGAACGTTCAAAAAGTTGAACACTGTTCAACTTTTTGGCGACCTCACCAACCAACCAACATGGGGAGCAAACTTTCAAAACCCTACAAATGCCTCCACCCGAAAACACGTGTCAAATACCCGGTTCCCACCACCACCGGCAGAGATCGTAAAAACACATGCTGTGATTTTGCCGATCTTGCCGGTTTTCTCCCGTTATTTTACTTTACGATGTTGAACGGTCGTAGTGGGAACGCGGCTTAAGAGACTTCTAGTTACTGCTAACATGAAGTGAATAGGCTGAGGTTTATGGTGGGAGTAGCAGGTTTGTGACGCCCCAGTGAAATAAATGCCGCCGTTCAACACCGATAGGAGCCCGAAATGAATGAATACAGGCAATCAACGCTGGTAGGTGTCCCAGCGAAATGAATGCATCTATTACCACCCAGAGGTGCCCCCATTTCAAATTAATACGACGGCGACGCCTCCACACCGATAGAGGCCCATCCCAGGGGAACGGAATAAATGCCGCCCCCTCATTGCCGGGCGCCCCAGGAGAATGAATGTTACACATCAACACCAATATGCCTCCCAGTGAAATGAATTATGAATGTCGCCTTTCGACGCCGGTAGGCGCCCCAGACACCAGTGGATTTGCTGCCGCCTTAAAACACCTAGGCACCTCAGTGAAGCAAATGCCAGCCTATACCACGAATGAATAAATACCACCCGTCAACGCCGATAGGCGCCTCAGTGAAATTAATGCCGCCCCAATCTCCGATAGGCGCCCCAGGTGATACATGTCGCCCATCAATACCAACGGGCCAATTGTCGCCCACCAATTGAAATGAATACCGCCCTTCAACACTGGCAGACGCCCCAGTGGAATGAATGCCGCCCCACAATGCCGATGGCCGTCCCTGCACTGGAAAATCAGTTTCGCCCCTATACAGGCGCCCATAGAAGTTTGCAGAGTGCTATTCCTGGTCATAATCATCTCCCTAGTAAAAAAACGCAAAATACGCCCTAGCACTAGGGGTGTAACCGCCCATACGGACAGTGCAATTTTACAGGCCCCAATCTCGGACCTCCCTTAACATTCATATGTTATACCTAAACGGCAAACCGCCCCCGATAAATGTTACACAAACTTATTTCCTCTCGCATATCGGCCATCAGGCGCCCCTTTTTGTCGCATGGAGCCTGCAACGCTATAAGCCCTCATATGTTCGTGTTGGCGTTCGGAGGCTATCGCCTTCAAAGACGTCTCCATAAATGTTTCTTTTTCGTCCCACACACAGGCGCCCCTCTTTCGCATGCAGGCGCCCCTCTTCCGCATGGCGCGCTTCTCGAGTGGCTGCGCCCTCCTAGCCTTTATCGCCTGGCAAGATTATATTCGACAGGGTCGGCAGCATCTACCTTTGTTTCAGATAAGGATGCCCTCCACTCTTCAGCATATCAAAAGATACTTTTCCCACGTCATTGCCACCTCTTCGTGTCACAAGTGCCTTTATCAGTTGCGGTATCGCACTGCTCAGCTTTATGGCTGCCGCACCTCTTAACTTCCTGCCTCCTCTACAGATTTTCGAGGCGCCCCTTTCCATAACTTTAGGGTGCAGCTGCCCCCCTTGCCCCCCTGCTTCCGCCGCCACTGATGGCTACCAGATTACCATATAAGGTGAAAACATTCGGGTGACCTCCCGAACCAAAATCATCAAATTTGAAAGAGCTAATGGAATTTCATACAAAAAAACAACGGTGGCGTTTCTGTCTGGATTGGCCCACGGTACTGTTACTGAGCTAAAGGAAGGCTGCAAGACTAAAAGCCTAAATGTAATAATCAACTGACGTCTGTGAGGTTCACATTTCGATATCACCGAGCTCAGCTGATGTAAGTTGTCACAATAGATATTCGAAATCGAAACGGCTGAGAAAATCGCCTATTCTTTATTCGGATGTAGGTATTTTTGGCTATACACCGAGCTCAGGCATTTGCTGGCGGCTTGCAGAGGAAAGTTTATACGTTCTTTCTACTTCTATGGGCTTTCGATTATCGAACGCCGTCGCCGAATACCAACTTTTGCTTTCAAGTTCAGTTGTTATTTAATCCGAGTTTCAGGACCGAAGCGAATGTTTTTTTTAGCAATCAACGAGGGAAGCGTGATCAAATTTTGGGAGCCCATGACAGCCCAAGTGACCGCGCCTTTGCCTGTCTTTCGTGTATTTTTATCGACCCTGGTCTATGACTCCACTCCACCGGGTCGCTATAAGTCGAGGCACGACCCTCCCACCCGGCCCATCGGCATCATATTCCATATAGGTATGCTCGGCGTACGCGGGTGCCGCTCCTTGGGTCGGGCCGACTGCGTGTGAAAAACGGGGCGGACCCTCTGCGCGGGCCACGGGCCGGCCGGCGCCGCCAGTCAGCTGGGTATTGAGCCGGCGCGGCGACCGCGCAGAGGCTTTCTTCGGCGGCCGGCAGCTGGCGCGCCAGTCGGTTGCGAGCGCTCGGTCGCGGAGGAGCGCCCGTGCTCCCGATCTGCGAGAAACGTGCGCGGAAGTGATATGTGATGATCTGAGCTTGCGAACTGTTGTGTGTGGACGATCTGTGGACCTTTCGCTCGTGAGGATATACTCCGGAAGACGCCTGACAGCCCAGCAGTGACCTGTTTTCGCCGGACGCCCATTCTGGTGAGTGACTGGCCGGTGACTTTCACTACGGTCGATGCCGCCGGCTTGGGATGGCCGATTTTGAGCCTTACTGACTTCTGACCGCCTTTGTTGGTGCGGCCACGCCGCTGTGGCGTCCGCGTTGCGGGCCTATTTTCGGAGGAGGTGATGGCGGCTGCGTGAGAAATTCGGGAGAACAGCACTGCAGCAGACGAGTTGTGCTTTGGCCACAGACAGGCCGGGCGCGGCTGCTGGGCAAGCGTCGGACGCTCGCCCTCGTGGCCTTGGCTGTCGCCGGCGGCCGTTCCGAACTCTACCCCGCCGTGGCGCCCGCTCCGTGGGGTGGGTAATTGACACGAAGAACGCCCGGGCGCCCTCCTTGGGCCGGCCAGTGCCCAACTATGGCGTGCGACGTGCGTGATTCTAGGTCATGACCTGTGAGGCCCGTGACTCATGTGCGTTCAAACTGAGACGTTACCTGTATCAACATGCCATTGAATATGGATGAAGGGGTTATGAATGGCTTTGTTATTACTCGAATTGAAACTGACCTTTTTATAAACTTACGGCTCAGTGAGAAGGCTCCCTGCGCTCCCTGCAGGTTAGAACTTTCTTAGCCACATCCCCGCCCCTCCCCCATTTCCCCTCCCCCGCTGCAACATGAGCCCGGCCCAGTCAGCGTCCGCCGTCCGACCGTCGGCTTCAGTGATGCCCATAGCCGGTAGAGGTGCAAACTTCCAACCACAGACCATCACCAATCACAAGCATAACTACCATGGGCGTGTCACATCACACATGACCTTTATCGACCGTTGTTTCACCTGGGTCAAATATATGAAGGCTAAGTAGCTCGTCAGCCACGAGATGGGTCGGCCGGTTAGGTTGGTTTGGTTATGGATAACTCTATACAGCCAAGGCCAGGAAGCCATACAATGTTCTCCAGCTCATGGCATACCTCTCCGCTATACGGCCTCGTCGCCGAACTGTAGTTAACAACCCACGACGTGAATGTTTCACTCCTAATCCTCTTGAATACCTACTTGCCGCGACCCCGACCAACCAATCTTACTAGATAGGGACACAACCCTGACTCAACCTGACCTGTTATGGTCCCTGTCCGTTCCGTGGGTGACCCAATGTGACTCGATAGGGTTCCTCTCGGCCCCTGACTGACTCGAGTCAGTACCCTGCCGACTGCCGATTGCCAACTGCCTGGTGCCGGTGTGTGCTCCACTGCCGGCCGGCACCGTATTTAAACCGCTCGATGATCGATTGAATCCGTGCTCGAACGCTGCTCCAGAATTCGGTCAGAGTGGTCGAAGGTGCTGCCATTTGGGTCAGTGACCTCTGGCCGTCTTTCCGCCCGACTACGGTCACGTCCATCGCACCAGCAGGGTCTTATTTTTGGTCGGAGGCCTGCTTCCTGTAATTATCATCTGTGTTCTCTGCCTTAGGCATTAGGTTGGTAAATCCAATTGGGGATGTCATACCGTGCCATTGTTGGGAACCGATCAACAAAACCTTAAAGGGACCCTCCCACCTTCAAAAAAGTTAATGAATTGGCATGAAAATGATGTCGCTCGGTTCAGAAAGAGCAAAAACGAATATCTACCAAATTTCATCGAAAAATATTCACCGGTTTTCAAGATATTAGACTTTTACTTTTGTTTACTTTTTGGGATCTCCGCTGTTCCTAGCGACTTTATTTGAAAGTGCGGCATTTGTTGCGCGCAAAGCAGCATATACCACCGCGTGCTACCAAACGTTTTAGTAAAAGATTTAAAATCGTTAGGTCTCCGCTGACGTCACAAATTCTAAGGGGGCATACCAATGCATTAGCCCCTTAGAATCCGAAAACTGCAAGTTTAAAATTCGATATCTCCGGATTAAAGCATTTTTCGATGTTGTGAGTGCCCAAACCGGTATTTTCAGGCCATGGCCACCAATTTGGCTATCTCAACTCAAATCTAATGTTAAGGTGGGAGGGTCCCTTTAACTGTGAAAAGCCCCCACGGACATTTCAGCCGAAAGTAGTTTCATAGCGACTGCACTGAAAAAAATTTTTTACTCAGGCCAGGCATTACTCAGTAATAACTCATGAAGAAACTCAGTGAATACGATAGTGGTGCTCACTTATTGGCTGATCTAACTCACATCACCAGGGTGACTTCGTTATGCGTGAGTTTTGAGTGCTTAGTTTCGTGAATTCGAACTGAGTCGGAAATGAGTTTTGCTTGGGCAAATCTAGTTTCCTGCGCAATGCATGAGTTCTCGCGAATTCACGTGCAGTTGTGCGTGAGGTACCCCCGGCTTGAAGATGTGCGCATGCGCGGCAGGGTGAGTTTCCTGCGTGATGCGTGAGTTCGCGTGATGAGTATTATAGCCGTTGCGTTCGAAAACCGCGGCGCGCGCTTCAGTCCGTTGTGGCGCGGTGACTCGCGTAGTTCACGTTGAATTGTTTAGGCTATTGTGAAATAGTGCAGGAGAGTGCAGGAGCGGGGAAGGCGTGCAGCGAAGGATGGATGGGTAAGTTATCTGTGAAGAGCTCGGTGATTGTCGATGAAGCTTTTATCAATTGCATGCGCCGCGGAGAACAGGGAGGTGAACGGATGGACCATCAGACATTCCCCGCCGGCGTCAGGAGGTCGGTGCCAACCGTGAACGGCGGAGCAGATCGATCGAGAAACTTAGGGATACCTACCCGGCATAGTTCGAGAAAGAAGAGGTGAGTTATGTTATATTTAAATTTAAGAAAACATGTTTGTGGGATAATGTTTTCCTTATCCTAAAAGAACGTTCATTTGACCCTTTTTACTCAGGGGCGTCGACACCGGTCCGACTTTTCCGACTAGTCGGACCACTTTTTCGACTAGGCGGTGCCCTGCTGTGGCTCGCGGGGGCCCCTGCTGCAGACCGCGGGGGCCCCACTGCGGCTCGGGGGGCCCTGCTAGAGACCGCGGGGGCCCTGCTGCGCCTCTGGGGCCCTGCTAGACACCGCAGGGCCCTGCTGCGGCCCGCGGGGTCCCCTTCTGCGGCCGCGGGGGGCCCCTGTTCAAGGGCTCTCGGGGGGCCCTGCTGCGGCCACGGGGGCCCCTGCCAGGGGCCCCTGCTGCGGCCACGGGGGCCCCTGGGGGCCCCCACCGGTGGGGGCCCCTGGGGGCCCCCACCGGTGGGGGCCCCCCGAGAAAAAGTCTGACCAGTTTTCCTTACGCGTCGACGCCCCTGTTTTTACTTCTTTAAACAAGAACTCCGTCACGACCCGATGTTTTTTTTTTTGGGGGGGGGGGCGAAGGTTGTTTGAAGTCGATTCTTTCCATGCAGCACCCATAGGCACAATGTTAAAAATGTAAAATATTGGGGGACACGTCCCCCGTACCCTCCCCCCCCCCGGTGGTGGAGCCCATGGTCTTAATTCCGCTCGCTGAACCGTTTAAGATTCTTTTGTCTCGTTTGTGATTATTATTTTTCCGACTGTTATTATTTTTTCCGACTGTTTTTTTTTAATGCTACACACATATTTTCGTACACTATTCTATTTCAGCGAGCATTTTCAACCTTCCTTACATATTAGATTATTAGATACCGCGGCGAGACGCGTTTGGACGTGACATAATTATTCCCATTACTGTTAAGTATAACACATTTTATGTGATTGTTTCAAGCTGATTTTAATATTGGACGCCCATGGAAGTGTTTTGCGAGACTAAAACCCGTCTGTTAAGGTGACCATCCCACCTTGACCCACGCTGTGCTGGGTGGCGTTTTACGCCCTCCACCCCCCCCCCGCCCCCTCAGGTTTTTCGCGAATATCTAAGAACGGCGGCGCGCAGCGCCACCATTTTCGGCACACCTGCTCATACATTTTTTTTTCTGCATATGAAGAAATTTTAGACCCAGGTCGTTCAAGGTCAGGTCACGTCAAATGACTTAACATCAGAAAAATTTCAATGGTCGCTGACGATCGCACCGTTCCCAACGTGCCATGGAAACCGTTTGATATTTTTGTCATTTTCGCTCAGGGAATTCACCGCTCGATCTCACACCAGTTTGAGGTAAAATTTCAAAAAAAAATATCGAACGGATTTCATTTTATAGCGTTTTTGATACTGTCCCATGTCTCAAGTATCAACCTTACGGCATGTATAAAATATACTTGCTAGTGCAATAAAACACCTCATATGTGTTCAGCTTGACGGTTTGGATCGACTGATATGCAACATGACCTGGTCAGGTCAACCTGAGGTCAAGTTTTAAAAATGGCCTTTCAAGGTCTAATAATAGTTCATTCGTCCCGACGAGAGGAACACTATGCTAACGGCAAAATAAATGTCGTGACTCTTGAGTGGAAAGTATTACAGAAAACATTTTCGTAAAAACGGCTTTTTTAGAGTTTTTGCTCTCTGGAGGCTTAATTGTTGACCTGAGGTCAAATCTGAGATCAAATGCCAGCAAAAAAAAAAAACGTCGAAAGAGCTTTTGACTGCATTTTTCCGCGGACGGCTCTTTTGGTTCCGAGTTAAGCACCAGTTTTTCGAGAATATTGAAATAAGCAAAATTTGGCCTTTCCTGACCTCTGGTGACCTGGCACTTGACTTGACCTTATAAATTACCCAAGTATTTCCTGTATCTGTTTATGCTTTTTCGAATGCCGCTTACTGCGTGTCGCTACGTGGCCCAACAGCCGAGTTAGAAGAGGGGACGTGAAGACGACCCCCTCCCCCCCCCAGTACATCACGGTAAACTCAGAGCACCAGCACGGCGCGGTTTAACATTAATTTTGAGCTGAAGTAACTTGATAACTTTTGATAGTTCAATCAACTTGCATGCCCTATAACTTCCGTTTCTCTTACTGGCAAAAGAAAATCTGACTTTTTTATTGTGTTTTCAGGGAACGGCCCATTGAGCCTCCTCTGCATCTTGGCGGAGAAGGCGTCAGTGGTGGCGTACACGGGTAACGAAAATTTGGATCACCCCCATCATAACAAGTCCGAAGGAAACGAACGGTGCCGCCTCATCGTGGA